TAATGAGAATGCTAGGGCTAAGACATGAACTAAGGAGGAAATCTAAGTAACCAACAGTAATATTGGGCCAACATTCAAATTGGATGGGTTGAGTGAGGTTAACTTGGACAAAAATGAAGGCAAGAGAAATTAGTATATTAACACTAATAATAGGGCCTCCAAACAGGTACATAACATGATTAAAGATAATAAAAGAGACTTAGTCTCATGTAGCAAGATCATGATCGAAAATAGCACTGAAATTGGGCCTGGTAACAACACTAGGAAAGCTGCAACAGGAACTATTTTCTCACTTAATTTTAAAATATAGAACAATTTAAATTTTGGAGGGGAAATTTTAGATCCAAAATTCATCATAATTCTTCTTCTTCTTAAATTGATACTAGGAAACCTCCTAACCTAAATTACTCTAATGCCACTATATCAGAAACTCAATTTAATGAGGATTCTCCAATGGAAATTCATAATCAATTCTTGAGACCAGATAATCTACTTAATGACCTTGACCAAGCTGGTGTTGAGGATGATATACTAGATGATGATCTTCTAGATGAGGAATACGATCAGCTAATCTATAATGATGATTATGAAGATGACTATTTTAGTAATGATCAGATTGAGGACTCACAGGAATTACGAGAGGCTTAATCTTCTTCTAGGTTTTTCTATTCCTTTTTTACTTATAGAATTAATTTGCTGGAATTGTAAAGGTACTTGTGCAAAAAGTTTTCCTAAGTGCATAAAAGAAATTACTAAATCCTTGAATACTCAAATTCTTATTTTGCTTGAGACTAGAGCTAGCGGAACTAGAGCTGATTCTATCGTTAAAAAGTTGAGTTTCTCTAACTGGATCTGTATTGAAGCTACTTGTCATGCTGGCGATATCTGGCTTATTTGGAATAATGATTTTGTTAACATTGATTATATGTACTCTAATGTTCAATTATGGCACTGTAGGGTTAATATTTTAGCAAATAATCAATCTTGTTTACTCTATGGTATTTACGATGATCCTAGTCCTCTTCACTGGGATCTTCTTTGACAATCTATCAGTTCTCTTGCTCTTAATATCTCTAATCTCTGGCTTATCATTAGTGATTTTAGTTCCTATCTTTCTTGTGATGACAAAATTAGTGGGGAAAGTGTCAATTGGAGATCCATGAAACAATTCAAATAATGCTTAGATTCTTTCAATTTTCTTGAACTAAACTTCTTTAGAGATAGATTTACTTAGGAAAAAGTCAACATTAAAGAGCGACTAGATTAGGCTTTTTGCAACACCAAATGGAGGCTAAGGTTTTCCCAAGCCAATTCCTTTCATCTACTTAGATATGGTTCTAATCATCGTTCGATTAGAATCCAATTACTCAAGGAGCCCAAAAAGAATTTTAATTTCAAACCTTTTCGTTGGCATACTGCTTGGATGCTGGAGGAATCTTTTCACCTTATGGTCAAAGAAGCTTAGTCTAACAATGATTAGAAGAATGGTACAACAAACTTTGTCAATTATACAACCAAATGGAATAAAGAGAAAATTGGTAGTATCTCTGCTAAAAAGAAGAAAATTCTACAAAGATTGGAAGGAATTGACAGAAGCAGAAACCACAGAGATAATTATTTCTCAAGGAAATTGGAAAAATCTCTTTGAGAAGAATATAACAAAGTTCTCTTGTAAGATGAATTGATATAGTTCCACAAGTCTAGATGTAAGTGGCTCAAATAGGGAGATCAAAATACCAAATTCTTCCATACCACATCTATGATTAGAAGGAAAAGGAATCATATTTTATCTCTTAAAGTGGATGATGATAATTGGATTGAGGATCAAAATACCCTTAAAAACATGGCTGCCTTTTTCTATGAAGATTTTTTCAAGGAAAATGACGAGGATAAACCCAAGCTTATTATTGATAGATGCTTTCCCCCTCTATCTGCCATCCAACTTCATATTCTGCACAGAGAAGTGACTAGTGATGAAATAAAAAATGCTGTCTTTACTATTGGCACTTTTAAAGCTCCTGGGCTTGATGGTATCAATGTTAGCTTTATTCACTCTTATTAGGATGATCTTAAAGTTAGCATTATTAACCTTATTAAAGGAGTTTTTAGAGAACCAAATTCTATCAAGGAGATTAACGACACTTATATTACTCTGATTCATAAGATAGATTAGCCCACTAGTATGAAAGACTTCTATCTTATTTCTTTCTGTAATGTTAGCTATAAGATTATCACCAAAATTCTCTCTAGTCGTCCACGTGAATGTATGAATCAATTAATTGGTGATACTCAAAGTAGCTTCATTCAAGGATGACAAAGCAGTGACAATATTATTATCACTCAAGAAATTATTCATTCTATGTAGAATAAAACAAGAAAGAAAGGATTTATGGCAATAAAGGTTGATCTTGCAAAAGCTTTTGATAGACTATCCTGGAACTTCATTGATGATACTCTCAACTCTATTAGGATGAATAATCACTTTAGGAAACTTATTCATGTTGCTATCTCCACATCACGCTTGAAGGTCATTTGGAATGGTGAACTATCTCATGAATTCACACTTTCTTGTGGAATCCATTAGGGGAATCTTTTTTCTCCTTATCTCTTTGTTCTTTGTATTGAACGTCTAAGTCATTGCGTACTTAATAGTATTGATAAAAATGAATAGAAGCCAATTAGGCTAACACCTAATGGGCCTCTTATTTCTCAGCTCTTTTTCGCTGATGATCTTTTACTTTTTATAGAAACATCTCTCTCGTAAGCTTATATTATTCAGCAATGTCTTTTGAACTTCTATAATGCTTCTGGTTAGAAGATCAACACTGAAAAATCTAAACTCTATTACTTTAAAAACATCAACATCAATAGAGCTTTACAAATCAACGATGAATTGGGAATTCCTCTAATAGGCAACCTTAAAAAATATCTTAGAATCCCTATTATTTATAGAGGATTACTAAGCTTACCTTTGCGCCCTTTATTGATAAGACTTATTCGTGTCTAGGTAGTTAGAAGAATTACTACCTCATTATAGTTAGAAAATCTGTTCTCATAAAATCTGTGCTCGCGGCTATCCCTAGCTATGCTATGCAAACTATGTTTTTACTTGACAATGTCTTGGCCGAATTGGATAAAATCTTTGGAAACTTTCTTTGGGATTCTACTGATGGAAACAAAAAATCTCACCTTTTATATTGGGATTGTGTTACTTCTGACAAAAAGGATGGGGGTCTTAGCCTCAAAAAGCGTAAGAATCAAAATATCACTTTTATAATAAAGCTCTGTTGGGGTCTCATTACTAAACTTGATTGTCTTTGAGTGCGAATCATTCGTGACAAATACAATTACAAAAAACCTACTATTCCTATGGTGATCAAACTGAATTCTTATTCCTATATTTGGAGTAGTATATGCAAAATTTGGGATGTCTTCTTATCCCACATTGGTTGGAAAGTTGGTCAAGAAGATCACATCTCCTTTTGGTATGATAAATGGACTTCTCTTCCCTAACCTCTAGTATATCATGCCTTTAGTAATATTGATCTCATCCTTTATGCTGGAGTCTCTAATTTTTATAAGGCTAATGGTGGATGGAACTTCGATATTATAAAAAGATATCTCTATCATGATATAGTCAAACATATCACTCACATCCAACCTCCTAATTGGTATGTTAAGGAGAACATTCTTATTTGGAAACCTTCTTCTGATGATAATTTTTCTATCAAATTAGCTTATAAAACTATGAAGGATCATAAATCTTAGAATCACTCATATATTTGGTCTAGAATTTGGAAATGGCCACATATAAAAAAAATCAAATATTTTCTTTGGAAAAGCTAATTTGGATCGTCTTAAAATATACACAATTCATCTGATAGGAATAACATTAAGCAATGTACCTGCCCATTTGGTTGTAACTCTCCTAACTCTTCTATCCATATTTTAAGAGATTGCAGGGCAGCTATAGAGGTTTGGGAAAAATTGGTAAATACTAATAAATTTAATACTTTCTTCTTTCTTTCCATGCAGGATTAGATTCTTTGAAATGCGAAAAATGAGGCTCGAAGCACGTCCACGAGAAGATTGCCTTAGAAAAAACTCTTTGCACAAGTTTGTTGGAACATATGGAAAGCAAGATGTAAGAAGGCCTACTCTGAGGATAACAATTTGGACAGTGATATTGCCTTCACATGTACACAACAAATCATCAATGACATGAAGTTGCAATCCAAACTGGATCTTCTAAGTAATCATGACACTCGTAATACAGCTAAGTAGATCTCGCCAAATTCAGGATAGGTTAGATTAGATGTCAATGGTTCTGTCAACCTTAATGGAATTGTGGCTTGTGGTGGTCTTATTAGAGATGATAAGGGCAACTTAATTGAGGGCTTTTCTAAAAATATTGGCTATCAACCTAGCACTGTTGCAGAGCTAATAAGAATCTTGAAAGGTCTTAACTTTTGCTAAAATGCTAAGATTTCTAAAGTTAATGTCTACTCTAATTCTATAGAGGCCTTATCTTTCATCGATCGAAGCTCTACTCATATTCACCCCTATTCAGACATTATCAGAAACATTAAAGATCTCACCATGCGCAATTAGGAGATAATCTTTAAACACGTCTACAAAGAAGCTAATAAATGCACTAACCTAATGACACACAAGGTTTCAAAGGAGAATTTTAATATTTGTCTATTTAATAGTCCGCCTACTGATTGTATAAGCCTTATGGCTTTTAACATTATCTGATTTCAAATTTTGCATGGTTTTATTGTGGCTTTATATTTCAAAAAAAAATATAGTAGGACTTATTAGGAAATAATATAGTGGGACTTACATCAAAACTTGTTGAAAGTATAAGGATAAGTGAATTAATTTTTTCTTAAAAAGAATAGAAATTTGAGAATTGGTCCACAGGGATTTCTTACAATGAACGGCCAAGATTTTCCCCGACTTGTCAAAACTATGCGTTTAGGTGATAAGTCTCCGGCATCCACTGGACATTTTTCCGCTGTGCATTGAATCTTCTCTTCCATGTTCTAATTGGAGATTCCTCCTCCCCTAAGCCGCCCGACTTTCCCCATTCGCTGGACACCTGGACCTCAAGTCCTCAACCTCGTTCTCGTCGCCGCTTATCGTCCTTAAAGATTCTTCACCCTCCTCGCCGTTGCCCACCTCACTCGTCCTCGGCACCTCGTCTTCAGAGTGGTCCTTCACCCTTCTGAAAACCGTGCGCTCCATAATCCAAATTCTCGTCTTCACCGTACCTCGCCGTTGCCGATCGTGGTCCGTTGTCCTCAGATTAGAGGTAATGACCCTTCTTCCGTGCCTTGTCTTTTTGCTAATGCAGGCCGTCTGGTAGTGTAAATTTATATATTTGAATACAAGAGAAATCTAAAACCCATTAAAGCCGTCAACGTCGCTTTAATACTATGTTTCAGTTTCTTCATAATCTGTTTTGGTTTCCTTCAGTCTGCGTTTCTATCACCCTTATTCCAACCTCTCAATGATCCCATAACTTCAGAGGCCAAAGCCTCACCTGAAGGCTTTGCCGATCTGGTTGGGGCCTTCAGAAAATGGGATTCTCAGTTGGGTTGTTCCAGGTTCAAGGAGGCATCTGATGGGACGAAGCTGAATGAATCGATGGGTTCTTCTTTGCAGGATACTGGAGGTGATTTGAAATGTGAGGGTTTGAAATTGAAAAATGTCAGCGTTTTGGTGAAAGGGTGGACTTGGATTATCGATTATTTACATAATTTGTACTCCTGCCAATGTGGGTTGAGCTAAGTAACAATCGTAATCTGAGACAGCAAAAGTCATAATCTTGGATGACCTTTAAGTTTTTAAATGCATCTGAAGTTCATTAATTCCTAACTTTTAAAGTTCTAGTTATAACATGTCTTTTTGATGCTGTAAAACATAAGTTTCTTATGACAACGTTCACATCAAGATAGGAAATTCTAATATCTGTTGTTTCTTATATAGTTGTATCCGTATGAGGTCTTCGATGATGTATTGCTGCCTTTGCAACATATCATATTTTAGTAATTGAATTATTAGTTGTTAACTTAGTCATTGAGGTTTTACTTTTGGACAAATATAACTGCCATAGTGGTTACATATGAGGGCCCTGCATGAAAAGCTCGAGATTTGACTATCAAGAGTTTCTTCTAATTTGATGCCTTTTAATTGATTGTGAGGAATAGTTATTTATCTTGTTGCTTAGTGTTGAATACTTAAAATGCTTTTATTGTCACCTGAAAGATTGATTGTTAATTACAGGAAGCATGGAATAAGTTCAATTCTGAGAAGATTTTCTTATCGTTCAAGGCATTTTGTTCATCTATTTTGTAGAGGGGGCCGCAACCTTGTATTAGCTGCTATGTTTACTCAAAGGTGTCTATATTACCTTAAATGGACATGAATTATATTTCATGGTTGCATTTTGTTGTTGTATGGAATAATGTACTATACGACTAAACATAAATTTAATCATGAGTTTGAGCAGTGTCCTGCAAAATTGGCTGTGAATTGAGTGTCCTGTTAGCACACATGGGTGAAGATTCTCCTCCTGTTCAGCCTTCCTCTACAGTGTCAGTATGCGATCCTCCGCCCCAAGCAGCTCCTCCTCCTCCTCCGCCATTTGATCCCAGTCGAAGTACGAATTACTATATCACCTTTTTGTCTCATCATATTTCCTTTTTTATTTTTATTTTTGAATAAATTTCATAAACTTTTGTGCAATATAACTGCTTGTTGCTAGAGAATGGTCTGCTTTTAAAAAAATTTTCTTCATGTTTGGTTTACTTTGGTTATTATGTTTACTAAAATTGTGGGGATTTGGTCACTGCAGTGGAGATTGACATTGCTTTTAGGGTTTTGATTTGGGTGGAACGGGGTTTTTTTGTCTAGCTAGTATAATTCCTGAAAAAATTGCAGTAACATGTCAGCAGCTTTTTTCTACGTGAGTTTGATTGACAAAATGAGGTAATGTGTCTTTGTGAGGAAGGATCTTTCTCTTTAGAGTGGATGAAATCATTCTAACTGAGCTTAGTGGTAAATTTGTGTGTTTTGGATGAGAGAGATTTGTGGCTGAGAATTTGGTAGGGTGCAGGGGTAGGGGTAAACAATAATAGAGCAAGTGATAGAGGGTCCAAGTTCAGGACTGGATCAATTTGTATGGTATATGGCTTCCTTTATGGCTAATGGCTATATGGCTATATGTGGATTAGGAATGCGCTCCAGACTTGTTATTGATAGACACGGGTGTCCTGCCTGATAGATTAATGAATAAAAGTTTTATTTTCATGCGTGTTGTTTGAAATACTGTGGTTACTATGCATTATGGAAGCAAAGATATCATTTTTTTTTTCTAGGTACGGATGTGTAAATTTTTTTAAAGCGACTTTTTATTTTTTTTGCTGGTTCTTCCCTTTTTTTTTTATTGTAGTGGTTGGTATCATTAAAAGGAAGGCCCTGATAAAAGATTTAGCTGCTGTGTTTCATGCGGAATGCCTTTCATACTGCCAAGAACTATTAGAACTTCAGAGAAAATGGGAGGAGGTTAGCTGCAATCCGTTTTCCCAGTTTCACATTATTTGATTACTTGTATCTCAGGTAGACATGTCTTGCTAATTCGATTTTGACAATTTCTTCTGGTGATAACCTGTGGATATGAGCATTATCTTTATTGCTATTATTGGCGTGCATTTAGCTAACGCTCTGTTTGGATGGAGAGGAAAGAGGAAGGAAAACTAGGAGAGAAAACAACTTTTCCTTTGTTTGGATGAGGAGAGAAAAGTGGGAGGAAAGAAAATAGGAGAGAAAATGGGATGTAGGACCCACTACATTTCCTCCAAAATTTTCTGTCCACATGGGGAGAGATTTTGAGGGGAAAATTTCATTCAAAAACTGCCCTCCCACTTAATTGCTCCGGACTCCCTCATTTATCATCTATGCGCCTTCTCCACTAATTCTGAATAAATGAATATTGGACGAGTGGGTTCTCCGATGGCATCCGAAGGAAAGATGACCTTTTGACTAGAGGGGAGTGAAGGGATGCTCCCAGGTTCAAGCCTTCATAATCATATCTGAATTGACCAACGATACTCTCTCCATTTCTATCTGTAGGAAAAAAATTGTATCACACAGTTTAAGAAAATCAGTTAATTATATTAATTGTGTCTAAAAATAAAAGGATTGGACTACAATACCCTTCATTAATTATGTTAATCAAGCCTTTATTAATTGTTTCTTTTGACTATGAATGATAAAATTATTAAGGATAATTTATGAAGTTTGCAATAAATGTTTATTGGAAAATATGATTTTACTTATATTAAAAAAAGCTAAAAGTGATAGTTTTTTCTATAAATAAAAATAAAGGGAGTACTTCTTTAGATTTATTTTTACCCTTATTCTTGGGAGGTTTTATCAAACTTTTTTGTTGGAAATCTTCTTACTTGGATTGCATAAGGGAGGCCATAGGCTTTTTCCCTATAACATGTTACTCCCTCCCTTTGATGTTATGAGGCACTTTTAATCGAATTGCATTTCCCAATGAGTTAGTTCATTGTATTTAAAATTACACTCTTTTTATGTTTCTTAGTTAAAAAGCCTTATTAATTACACTCCTCAATTAAAGGCAATTTTAGAAAAAGCTCATTAGTTGCACCTTGTAAGATTCAAAATGTTTTATATTTTTGAATGAAGGAAGTAAATCCTTCCATTCATTGCCAATAATATAAGGCTTGCCTATGAGTCTTTGTTGTGAGTTGAACCATTTAGTTGGTTTGTATATTATGCTTACACCTATTTTCCTATATATGGTTCGCTTCAGCCATTCATTGACTTGACTGCTCCAGAGGATTCAAGAAAGGACACCCTGCGGCCCTCCAAACGCACGAAAAAGCTGCGTTAAGGTTTGATGCAACATCATACTTATTAGGATCCAAGTCTTTTCTTTAAAGTTATCTGAATGTAGATTCTCTATTAATCTGGGTCTCTGTCCCAAGCCTTTCTTGTGCGGACATACACGTAAAGATAAAATTCGAAATGAGCATATACGTGAAAAAGTGAGGGTGGCACCTATTGAGGAAAAAATGGTAGAAAATCGGTTGAGATGGTTTGGGCATGTACAAAGAAGACCAAGGGAGGCACCAGTGAGAAGAGTGGAACATATAACTTTGAGTCCGATTAAGAGAGGTAGAGGAAGGCTTAAGAGAACACTCTTGGAAGTTGTTGAACGTGATCTCTTAATTAATAATATTTCTAAAAGGTTAATAAATGATAGAGCACAATGGCGTCTTGCAATCCATGTAGCCGACCCCACCTAGTGGGATAAAGGCTTGTTGTTGTTGTTGTTGTTGTTGTTTCTTGTTTTTAGGATTTCTTTTTCTGTACGTAGTATGCATTCCTATTTCCTAATTTCGTATGATGCTTACAGGACGAGGGGGAAAAGCTGGCTCAGCCTGAAACTTTTGATTGGTTCTTTGTACCCTGTTTTTGTTGTAAGTATAACACTTATGGAAATTATTGAAAAAAAACCTTCAAGCGTCATGCAATTCATGTAACTGGCCTCGTCCAATGAGATAAGATTTATTATTGTCGTAAATTTTGTGCATGATTAAAATAGCAGGGAAAGAAACCCAGAAAATTGAGCTTTCTGCCCGTTTTAGGTTTGTCTGTCGGTCAATGCGTCATTTCTTACTGGTTATAATTATTGTTGACAGAACCGGACTGGGCCAACGAGTCAGATCAAGAACTGACCGTATGTCTGGTCCAAAACCCTTAAAAACTAGCCAAAAGTGAAGCAGTGGAGAACTAGTCAAAATCGATCAAAACTGACTAGAACCGGTGGAAAATCAGTTGGAACCGGTTTTTCTGATTTTTTAAAATTTAAATACCTAAATATTGTTATTTTTTGTTTAAATTTGTCTTTTGGTTCGTTTTTCTTTAGTGTTATGTATATTTGATGATTTATTAGTGGCTTGGATCAAATTATGGAAGCGTGTAGCTTAGTTGGACAATTAATTTAGCATACTTGGATCATTAGTATGTATGAAACTGATATGGACATGAATGAATATTTCAAGACATATTTGGGTTTTTCTAAAATTATATTGGTAAATATTGTCTAAATTATTTTTTTCACATGTATTATTTAAAATATATTTTAATTGAGATTGGTTTGACTATGGTCTGGTCATGGTTCAACTATAGTTTAGTGAACCAATGTTCGAACTAATTCAATGTCTAGTCAGGTTCTACCAATAGTTATGAGGCATTTTTTCTCCTTTTGCCTAGTTTAAGCTGTTTTCTGAGATTGTGTCTATTAAACGATGTTTAGTTTTAAAATTTGAAGATTAACGAGTAAGGATGGATTTTGAAAAATAACAACTTTGTTGCACGCTATGTTTCATCAAGTGTGTTTATTCTATTTTTTTGAAATAAAAGAATCAACTTTCACCAATTATTTTTTTTTTAATTTGCAAACAGAAATTTTGACCTGATTTTTTCATTTGGTCCTGTTGCTTTCAGTTGGCGTAAAAAATTAACTTGCCAATGTACGAGAGACATTGACGGTGCGAGATAAATGTTGATGTGGCAAAAAACTAGAGAGAGTTTTACATGGACTTGGCTCCATATTATCTACAAGGAGAGGGGCCTCTCCTTTTCTTTTATTCACCATTTTTTTTCTTTTCCTTTTATCATCGTTAGATCAAAGTTTTAATGGGTTTGACTAAATATTTAATAAAATTATTATTTTAATTTTACATAAAAGTATATAAAGAAATTTGAACTATTAAAATTTGATCTAAACAATATAAATTTATAATATTTTATTTATATAAGATTATAATAATGATTTTATCAAAAATTAAATATCAACTGTTGAGGGCTCGCACATAATTAATTATAAAAATAATTAATTAAATGGTTGATTTTAATCATGATTAATTATATTATAATACAATTTGTTTGGATATTATTTTTTTAAAATTAATTTTAATATAATTGAAGATGTTTGGATAATTTATTTAAAATTAATTTTAACTGTATAAATTATTATAAAGGACATTTCTTTTTAAAATTAAATTATTAATATATTTGTATTTAATATTATTAAATTTGTTAAATTTTACTTAAGAAGTAAAATATATTATTTAAATTACATATCTGATTAAGTATAAAAATTTAAATTATATTAATATTAATAATTTAATTTATGTAAATAAATAACTTAATATATCTTAGTTTAAATAAATTTAATAAAAAAGAAAGATTAATTCTTAAATGTCAAATATCAATTTTACAATAACTACTAAAGAAAATAATATACAAATTGATTTCTAATGATATTATGGATATGAATCATATTTGATGAAATTGTTAAGCATTGCTTTGAAATTTGGTAATATAAAAAATGTAACAATGTAACAAATGATGTAAAATCTTTCTTTTTAAACCTTTGCAACAATCTTTGTCATGATTCTAAATTAAATTAATTTTCCTCCACTAATTAATATTTTATTTGAATTAGTTTTACAATAAGGTTAAGTGGAGAGTAGTGATTGACAGAAATTTATGTTGGCAACTTTTTTAAAGATCTACAGTTTTGATTTTATTAAGAAAAAAAAAAAGAGAAGAGAGTTTGATTTTATTTTTATAAAATTATATTTTTTTTATAATTTTTTCTTGGGCTTTTCTTTATAATTTTCTCCAACACTTTTTCACCAGCGTTTCAGAAAAAGCTCAAAATATTAGCTTTTGAAAAAAAAAATCATTTTTAATGGTTAAAATCGATTTTTTGCCTTTTCAGTTGTTTGGTTAATAAACAGAATAATTGATTTTTTTAAGTAAAAAAATTGATTAAAAACATATCCAAACACGCACTGAATAGCTTTGATCTAACGGCGATGAAAAGAAGAGAAGGGAATTGGAGTGTATGGAAAAGGAAACAGCCTGTGATGTGGCCAAAAATTATGTAGGTGCTGATGTGGTCATGAATGTGCTTTCATTAATAATTAATAAATATATAAAGCGGCGTGCATGGGCAAGCCAAATGGGAGAAGGCAGAGGAAGATGTTGCGCATGCAACAAACAAATAAACGATTTTGCGGTAATGCTTGAGGAGGAAGTCGTAGTAGGGGAACAGATTAACTCCGTTTTGCTGTTTTTATTATCTTATATCAGTTGCAAGGTTTAAAAAAATCAAATTCGTCCTTAAACTGGATGAGATACTTGCTTTAAGGCTCAAATAGTTAAATCCTGATTGGATCCGATTGGTTATAATTAATATAATATGCTTTAATATATATATATATATATATATTATGTTGAAAGTGACATTTTACATAATATTATTCTAATTTTGTCGGTTTTGCTTGAAGGGGCTAAATATCTATGTTCGATTTTCTTATACAAATTTTCTTCCTTATTGTTTTCCTCTTCTCATTCTTTATCGATTCTGGTTTTTCCAACAAGCTACAGTGTCCCGGGGGGGGTAAATGGATCCCCAACATCATCCCAGTTTCCTTGCATCTACCAAACTACGCTGCATGCCCAAATTGGTCCAATCAATCATTTTATTTAGGGAGAATAACAGTTCATTTTTTTTTTTGAAAACAAATTCATGATAGTTAAATCTCTAACAATTTTTTTTTAAAAAAAATTAGTTGTAAATATTTTAAACAATTGTAAATTTAAAAGTTTCAGCTGCAAATATGATGTTTGTTCTAAATATAACAATCAATTTGCAATTTGAATTTCTATTTACAACTGTTTGAATTAATATTTATAAGTTATTTTACAAAAAAATTTTCAGAAACTTAACCATCATTCATTCATCCTTAAAACTTTGTCATTCTCCTTTTTATTTAGTAGATGTCTTGGACATGCTTCCAAGTTTAAACAGTTTTTATAGAGATTCTTACATATTTTTCATGAAACTGCAGTAATCATTTTATTTAGGTAGAATTTTAACTAAAGAACAGATATGTGACTTAATTACTAGTAGGTCTAAAAAAAAAAAATCTGAAACTTTAGTTTAGTCCATGATGATTGAAGTGAAAATAATTTTAATGATAAAAAGATCAAAATGCCCTTCATTTATTAATTTTGTCCGAAATGCATAATTACTAGTTGTTAATTTTCTTATTTCACTTGTTAATCTATCATTATGAATTGTAAATAACATGAATTAATCTGTCAATAATTATATAAGACTTAGACATCAATTGTTCAATTATAAGCAGCAACATCAATTGTTAATTTGCTAACTTTACTTATTAATTTAGTAACATCAGTTATAAATACAACTCATATTAATAAATTAACAAGTGAAGTAAAAAAATTGACAACCAATAATTCTTCATTTCAAACAAAATTAATAAGTGAAAAATACTTTAATTTTTTTCACCATTAAAATTATTTTCACTTCAATCCTCTTAAACTAAATTGAAGTTTTAGATTTTTTTTTAAAACCTATTAGTAATTAAGTCATATCTTTGACCCTTACTTGAAATTCTCCAATTTATTTAAATGTAATTATTTTATTTGAATCTCCTAACTGAAAAGGGATCGTAGCGGTTTGATAGAGAATCCAACGTAGTGTTAGTGTGAGAACAAAGGGCTAATTGTGTGTATTATATTCCCATTCATAATGTTTACCTTTTGATGTTTTGACGATGTTGGATTTTGGGACAAACTTACTTTAGAACAGAAGTTCAATCCGAGAAACTCTTATCCTAATGCTTGCCATTTGTAACTTATTTTTTCAGAACTATTTATGTGTGTGTAATTCAATTCAATTACTTTAGCTAAAGGTTATCATCCATTTTTATTTGGTTCCTTTAAGTATATTTTGGTATTAAAGAAATATGTCACAATGAGCTAAGGTTCCGACCCATAAACATGAAGCATTTATCAGTGACTCAACCATTCTTGTTTATTCTACATACACTATACACTACAAATAAGCTCAACGCAATTCCAAATCCTGAGACTTATCAATACGAGTCTAAACCTTGTACACTACGTAAAGAACACGTAGGTTTCTTACTCATGAGCATGCATTTCATTAAGAAGCTAAGAAAGCAAACTAACTGCTTAGGCTTGACAAGAGGGAGCTTCCCTCCTTGATGAGAACGAAGACACTGCCACCATCTCCCCGAGAGATACGAAGTTCTTCGTCTAGGTATGTTGTGAGCAACCATGACTGAGCATTGCTGTTGCTGATTGGGATCTTCAATGGAGGCTGACTGGAAATTGTTCTGGCAACATTTGAGGCTGTGTCTTGCAGAGAGTTGAGTATTCCTTTGAAAGGTGTCAGGTCTATCTTCTGTCCCAAGAACTCGACATTTTCTGGTATTACTAACGAGTCTGTCAGCTGTGGCGTGCTGATGATCCCTTCGTCGAACTTGATCTGAAAAATGTTCATGGTTTCAGCAGTAAAGACCTTAAACTTAAAATATGGTTCATAAAAAAATGTCAACCAAAGACCTTAGTCATTGAATTCATCCTTCTATAGGACTTTAGTCCCTCAACATTTGCAACACATAGTAAGATTGAAGGCGAACCTGGACACGTTTTGGACTGCGAACTTCAAATTTGGCATTGGTGCTGACAGAAGTGGTAGCCAAAGGGCCAGCAAACTGAACTGAGTTTTGGACGGTGAAGTTTTGGGAATCAATTGTCTGAGATATTTCCTCTACCTTCACCAGTGGCAGTGTTCCTCTTGACAACAGTGGGAACAAACCTGCAAATGATGTGTACCTGCACAGCCACAGATACCCCATAATAAGTTAATCACCATGACATTCGACCAATCATGAAAATTTCTTGCATGCTGTGTGTGTGTGTGTGTGTGAGTGAGTGAGTGAGTGAGTGAGTGGGGGGAGAGAGAGAGAGAGAGAGGCAATTTGCACGTGGGCCACACATTTTTGGATTCAACATCAATCCTTGCACGAGTTCAAACGCTACAACACAAAGTCCGGGATTCACATTCATAATATCCTTCTAGCCCAGAGTAGGTTGACTCATCATTTTTATATAGAGAAGGAGGGGGGGGGGCATGTGGGAATATTATGTTATTATTGAGAATTATTAGCATTTATTAGGATCTCATTAATTAGGCTTTATTAGTATTTATTAGCTTTTATCTCTCTTGATGTATATATATAGGACCAATGTATACATTAGAATTGCAATGAGACAATACAATTTTTTCCTCTCTAAAAATTCCACATGGTATCAGAGCATCAGGCTCAAAATTTCAAATTAAATTAGTTCTGGAATGGCTAGAATGGGGCTGCCTGAACAGTACGTGATGGTGTTTGTGTGGACAATGGTGGAGCGAGTTTTGAATCTCACCACCACCCTAGACGTACTTAGGAGGCTCCGAATGGCGAAACCCAGGGCGGCGGCGGCGAACGGCGGCGCGTGTAGACCACACGCGCCACCCCTGTTCACTGCGTCAGTAAACTTTCGGCGGCGCGTGGAGGCGCGTGGAGGCTCCGTTCAGGACGCGATCTTCTCGGACGGCAACGACGCACTCTCTCCGGCAAGATCCAGCACAATCCGGTGTATGGGCACATCGTTTTCGAACCATATCAGGTCGTATGGTGTTGTTAGTGCCCTGTTTTGCTGGATTTGGAGTTATATTGGGTTGTGGCTTCTGTTTTCAGTCTACCAAAAAGCTTTTTCCTCATTTGAAGTGCTAGGGGTGGTACTATGGCTACTTTTATGTAGTGTTGTGCATAATTCCAGATCTGCACCCATGGCATTTGTGGCAAAAAGAGAGTCTTTCCTTCAAGCTTTAAAGACGACTCAAAGTGCAGTGGTCTGGATCGTGGATTCCGGGGCATCTGATCATATGACTAATTGTCATCAATTGTTCACCACTTACACCCCATGTGCTGGAAATATTAAAGTGAAAATTGCAGACGGCTCCTTAGCACCGGTGGCAGGAAAAGGGAGTATCCGTATATCAGATTCTATTACTTTGGAATCTGTCCTTCACGTGCCAAAACTTGACTGTAATTTACTTTCAATCAGTCAACTGACCAGGCACTCAAATTATTTTGCTAAATTTCTCCCGTCACATTGTGTGTTTCAGGATCTATCATCTGGTGCGACAATCGGCAATGCCAAAGAATATGAGGGGCTCTACTATTTAGAGGTCGTCACTCGAGTAGATAACCCACCTATTGTTGGTAATTCTGCATCTACCTCTAAACTTCATGATTTTATGTTATGGCATAAGAGAATGGGTCATCCCAATTTTCATTACCTTCAGCGGTTGTTTCCAAACTTATGCCCGACCTTGAATCATAGTGAAATCCAGTGTGAGGTATGTGAACTTGCCAAACACCATCGAACTTCCTTTCCTTGAGCCAAATACACACCTACCAAACCTTTCACAACCATCCACAGTGATTTGTGGGGACTATCTCGCACTTCAAACCGTACTCAAACAAAATGGTTCATCTCCTTCATTGATGACCACACTCGTGTTTGTTGGGTTTACCTTTTGAAAAACAAGTCCGAGGCTGCATCCACATTCATGAGTTTTTTCACCATGATCAAAAACCAATTCAACACTAGCATTCAAGTTTTACACACCGATAATGGCACTGAATACTTCAACCAATCTTTGAGTAATTTTCTCCAAATACATGGGATTATCCATACCAGTACGTATGCCCATACACCCCAACAAAATGGGGTCGCAGAAAGAAAAAATAGACATATCCTTGAAGTTGCAAGAGCACTCATGTTCACTTGCAACGTGCCAAAGTTTTATTGGGGAGATGCCATTTTAACCGCAACCTATCTCATCAACCGGATGCCCAGTCGAATATTAGCCTTCGAAACTCCTCTCCAAAAATTGCAGAGTGTTTTTCCTACATCCCACATTGAAACCAAACTTCCGCTTCGTGTGTTTGGGTGCACAACCTTTGTTCATATCCACCAAAGCAGTAAACTTGAACCTCGAGCTATCAAGTGTATCTTCCTTGGCTATTTTCCTACTCAAAGAGGATATAAGTGCTTTGATCCTGTTTCTAAACGCATCCTTGTAAGCCTTGATGTTACTTTCCATGAAGAAACTCCTTTTTATTCCAATTCCTCAATTCAAGGGGAGAATATCGGTGAATCTCAGACTTGGGAACTAGAACCTAACGCTGAATATATACTTCTTGAGTCCGTGTCTCCTTTACTAGAACCATCACCCTTACCTTTGTCCAACATGCCACCTTCACCAACCTCTTCTCTTATGCCAAAGTTTGAGGAAAACAAGAAAACAGAGAAAGATGTGGAAAGACCACAAAAGGGGGAGTTGTTAGTTTACACTCGAAAGAAGAAAACAAAAGATAGTGAGCAACTTGTACCTGAGGCATCAAGAGAGTCAGAACCAGAGGTAGTCCCTGAAGCTGACGTACCAAAGATTGATCCATCTAGTAAGCCAGATGACTCAGAACAAAGATGTGAATCTACTGATCTTGATCTACCTATTGCCCTTCGGAAACAACCTCGGTCTTGTACTTTGCATCCGATTCAGAAGCATGTGTCCTACAAGGCTCTCTCTCCTGGTTACCGAGCCTTCATCACTAATTTGGATAAAGTTGTTATTCCTAACAACATCCAAGAAGCATTGGAAATACCAGAATGGAGAAATGCAGTTGTGGAGGAAATGAAAGCTTTGGAGAAAAATGAAACATGGGAGATTGTTGAAAGACCTAGAGGTAAGAAACTAGTTAGTTGCAAGTGGGTCTTTACCCCAAAGTATAAGGCTGATAGCACACTTGACAAGTTGAAAGCACGGTTAGTAGCAAGAGGTTTCACCCAGACTTATGGCATAGACTACAAAGAGACGTTTGCGCCAGTGGCAAAACTGAACACTATAAGAATCTTATTGTCAGTGGCAGCCAACCTTGAATGGCGTCTTCATCAACTAGATATCAAAAATGCTTTTTTAAATGGAGAATTGAAGGAAGAAGTCTACATGACTTTACCTCCTGGGTTTGATAGAGGCAGAAATGACAAAGTATGTCGGCTGAAAAAATCACTGTATCGCTTGAAACAGTCACCTAGGGCATGGTTTGACAGATTCTCAAAGGTCCTGAAGTTAGAAGGCTACAAGCAAGGATTGTCAGATCATACGATGTTTGTTAAGGCTGAGGGAGCTAAGAAGTGCATCCTCATTGTGTACGTTGATGATATAATCCTTACAGGAGATCATGTTGATGAAATAGCAAGGATAAAAACTATCCTTAGTAAGGAATTTGAAGTTAAGGATCTTGGGAACTTGAAATATTTTCTTGGGATGGAAGTTGCTAGGTCAAAATGAGGAATATATGTATCTCAGAGGAAGTATATACTTGATCTTCTCAAGGAAACTGGCATGTTGGGTTGTAAACCTAAGGAAACTCCTATTGTGATCTCGAAAAAGAAGAGGCCACCTAAGAAAAGCGGCACTGAGGAGTTAGAAGGAGAAGACAACTCTGATAATGAAGTTGAAGAAGAAGAAGACAAGGAGAAAGAAGAAACCATTGATAAAGACAGATATCAAAGACTGGTTGGGAAGCTGATTTATTTATCCCATACGAGGCCAGATATTGCTTTTGCTGTCAGTGTAGTAAGTCAATACATGTGTGATCCAAGGAAGAGACACCTGGAAGCTGTATATAGGATTCTCAGATACCTTAAGGGTACACCTGGTAAGGGATTGTTATTCAAGAAGCATGATCAAAGGACAATTGAGATTTACACCGATGCAGACTGGGGGGGGACTTATGGAGACAGGAGATCCACCTCTGGCTATTGTTCATTTGTGTGGGGAAACTTAGTAACCTGGAAAAGTCAAAAGCAAAGAGTTGTATCCAGAAGCAGTGCTGAATCAGAATTGAGAGCATTAGCTCAAGGAATTACAAAAGAACTATGGATAAGAAGGGTCATGGAAGAAATAGAAGTCAGAGTTGATCCACCAATGAAATTGTATTGTGATAATAAGGCTGCTATAAGCATGGCATTGAATCCTGTACAGCATGAGAGATCTAAACATGTTGAAGTGGATAGACATTTTATCAGAGAGAAAGTAGAAGGAGGTATTGTATGTCTGACATACCTACCTACAAAGTTACAAGCTGCGGATGTACTAACCAAGGGACTACCCACGCCTGCATTTGAGAGTTGTATAAGCAAGTTGGACATGATTAGCATCTATGATCCAACTTGAGGGGGAGTGTGGGAATATTATGTTATTATTGAGAATTATTAGCATTTATTAGGATCTCATTAATTAGGCTTTATTAGTATTTATTAGCTTTTATCTCTCTTGATGTAAATATATAGGACCAATGTGTACATTAGAATTGCAATGAGATAATACAATTTTTTCCTCTCTAAAAATTCCACAGGGCAGGACATGCCATATGTTTGGATGGGAAAATGAGAAGAGAAGGAGAATGAAATGGTTAAGTCATTTCTTGAGAGAAAAGAGAATATATGCCCCATGTAATATATCATTTTGATTATTGAGAATCAATCAACAACAACAACAACAACAACAAGCCTTTATCCCACTAGGTGGGGTCAGCTACATGAATTGCAAGACACCATTGTGCTCTATCATTTATCAAGCTTTTAGGAATATTATTAATTAAGAGATCGCGTTCAACAACTTCCAAGAGTGTTCTCTTAGGCCTTCCTCTACGTCTTTTAATCGGACTCAAAGTTATATATTCCACTCTTTTCACTGGTGCCTCCCTTGGTCTTCTTTGTACATGCCCAAACCATCTCAACCGATTTTCTATCATTTTTTCCTCAATAGGTGACACCCTCACTTTTTCACGTACGTGCTCATTTCGAATTTTATCTTTATGTGTACGTCCGCACATCTATCGTAACATTCTCATCTCTGCTACTCCAACTTTATGCTCTTGCTGTCCCGTTAGAGTCCAGCATTCACTACTATATAACATTGCCGGTCTGATAGCAGTGCGATAAAACTTTCCTTTAAGTTCATTAGGCACCTTACGGTCACAAATAACTCCTTTAGCTTTTCTCCAATTAAACCACCCAGCTTGAATTTTATGTGAAATATCTCCACTGATTTCGCCATCATTTTGAATAATGGCTCCCAAATATCTAAACTTTTTCACTTGAAGTATAATTTGATCTCTCAATTTCACTTCTAAATTATTATCGAATAGTCCTTTACCAAATTTACAATATAAATATTCCGTCTTACTTCTACTCAAACGAAAACCTTTCGACTCCAATGTCCTCCTCCATAACTCAAGTTTGCAATTAACCTCTTCTCTTGTCTCTGCTATAAGAACTATATCATCCGCGAAGAGCATACATTTCAGGATTTCCTCTTGAATATGTTCCGTCAAAACATTTAAAATCAAGTTGAACAAATAAGGACTTAGAGATGATCCCTGATGTAGTCTAATCTTTATAGGAAAATCCTTTGTTTGACCACTAGGCGTTCTTATACTAGTTTTTACCCCCTCATACATATCTTGTATGGCTTTAATATAAGCAATCCATACTCCCTTTTTTTCCAACGCTTTCCAAAGCACTTCTCTTGGTATACGGTCATAAGCTTTTTCCAAATCAATAAACCATGTGTAGATCTTTATCTTTACAACGATACTTTTCCATTAATCCCCTTAGTAGATAAATCGCCTCTGTAGTTGATCTACCTGACATAAAACCAAATTGATTCTCAAAAATACTTGTCTCCAATCTCAACCTGTGCTCAATTACTTTCTCCCACAATTTTATTGTGTGACTCATGAGTTTAATCCCTCTATGGTTAGTACAATTCTGAATATCTCCTTTATTTTTATAAATAGGAATTAATATACTTCTCCTTCACTCATCATGCATTTTCTTGGACCGTAAAATCACATTAAATAACTTAGTTAACCATCTCACCCCTTCTTCACCTAAACATTTCCACGCTTCGATAAATATACAATCAGGTCCGTTGGCTCTACCATTTGTCATTTTCTTAAGAGCTTCCTTTACCTCCTTATCATGTATTATTCGATAAAATGACAAATTTTGTTCTCCTTCACCAGATACTAAATCCTCCAAGTTATTAGATGAATTCTCTCCGTCATTGAAAAGTTTAGAAAAGTAAGTCTTCCATCTATTTTTAATTTCATCATCTGTAACTAAAATTCTTCCCTCTTCATCCTTAATACACCTTACCTGTTCTAGATCTCTTGATTTTCTTTCCCTACTCTTGGCAATCTTATAAATATTTTGCTCTCCTTCCTTCGTCTCAAGGTTCTTATAAAATTCTTCAAAGCCTTAGAACGAGCTTCACCCACAGCTCTCTTAGTTTCCTTCTTAACCATACGGTACCTCTCCCAATTTTCCTCATTGTTACATAAATGTATGGCTTTAAAACAGTTCTTCTTATACTTGATTTTGTTCTGTACACTATTATTCCACCACCAAGACTCCTTATCTCTCGGACCAGAACCTTTCGATAGTCAAAGTATAAGAAGAAAACGTGAAAATTATCCTGAGATAGGCAAAGGCTTAACAAATTATCCTGCTATAATAAAAACGTGAAAATTCTATACTTCAGTGCAAAATATAGGACAACATGTATACAATTAGAGGTGGAAATAAGCTAGGGTGAGTTAAGCTTTAGCCAAATAGGCTTGAGCCTATATAAGGCTTTTCTCACGACTTAAGCCTAGGCCTACTTAAAATTAAACCTTTTAAATAGACTCACATGTTAGTTTTTAAACTTCTCAAATATACTTTAGGACTATTATAATATACAACATGATTTATCAATTACAATATACAATAATTGAGAGAACTTGCCAACTATAATACAATCTAACAATAAAATAACAACATTAAAATTAATATATAAGTCCAATATGATTGAAAATGTAATTAAAAATAAAAAAAATAAAATGATTAAAAATCAAATAGTAAAATTGATGTGTTTGTGATATATTATATTGTGTCTATGTGTGTAAATATATATGCTGGCTTGTTAAGCTTATAGGTTAATCCTTGAAAAAATAAGCTTAGCCTATTAAACTAAATAGGCCTAGTTAAAAACACAAACCTGGCTTGAGTCTATTTAGCAAATAGGTTAGGTTAAACCAAAAGTAAGTCAAGTTGTAGGCCCCTATTAAGACCCCTGGCCTATTCCTACCCCTAAATACAAATAGTATAACATGACAAAATATGAAATACTCACTTCATTCCAAATTATAAAATACTTTTAGATAAAATCTCACATATCAATAAATCACATTAAATGCACTTAATAACCTGATCTTTTTAAAATAAAAATATAAACTTTCAAAATACTTATCATTTAATATATTAAAAAGAGAAGGAATGAAAATTAATTATAGACAGAGAAAGGATAATATTGAAATTGGTACATTTAATGAAATCTTAATTTACCCAAAGTATCTTATATTTTGGGATAAAGAAACTTCTTCAAAAAAACCCTATAATTTGGAATGGGAGGAGTATAATTAATAAATTTTAGGGACTATTGTATTTATTAATTTTCAAAATTTAAGATTGAATGAATCTAATAATTTAAAAATCAAATTGTTAATTTGATCAAATCCATTATAAAGTCAATTCATCCTAAATCCCATAATTAATAATTAGATCTTTTGTATTGGATGAATAAATGTACTGTGTATGTTTACAATAAATTAAAAAAAAAACATTAGTACTAGTTAATGGTATATACTTAATATACTTTTGAACTTCAATATATCAATTAAAGGCATATAACATAGGAAAGAAACTCAATCTTGTATTTAGTAATAATAAATATATACATGAATAAAAGTAGGGGGGAAAGCTGACAAGATAGAACTGACTCACAATCACTTGTACTGTACTATCGTTTCTCTTACATGGATAAGAACAGAGCTCCATCTTTCACAATTAGTTTTTTATGACCTTTTTTTCTGTTAAACATATCACCTATTCAAATTTGAGTAATGTCAGGTCTTACGTGAAGATAACACTCCTACTATTGTTTTCATCCTAAAATCTTAAAGAGATATTGCCTAAGAAATATTGAATTCCTTCAACAACACCGACCACCAGTGTTGGGATCTCGCGGCTTAAGGATATCTCACGAGTCATTATTTGCATCATGGACACTTAACTCATACTCCAACACATTCGATTGATCAAACACAATCACAAGTAAATATCTTAATACATTTTAGTAAGCCCAGACATTATATAACATTTTATCGACTATTTTTGAATGTTGCTCGAGAAGCATAACAGAAAATTAAACAATTCCAACAACAACTAAGATATATAAGGAATAGGAAACTCTTACGCGAGAATCCATTTTCCATTGAGCAGCGTCAGGGCCTCAGTAGGCGCAGGGTTTGGGTTCTTAGCCTCAAGTTGCGTGATAAGCTCCACGATCTCCGCTCTCGTCTCGCTCGTAGCCTTCAATCCTCGATCGGTCCCATAAAACGAATCCACCAACGCCTTTTTCAGGCGATCAGTCTCCAGCTCCTCCACCGCCTTCTCCTCCGCCACTGCCACAGGCACCGCCGAATCCTCCTTCTTTTCAGGACCCCACTCGTCGTCGTCTGTCACTGCTCGAACACAGAACACGGGCCGTGGCGAATTGTTAGGTTTTCTGATGGATTGACCGGAAAATTCAACCATGCACGGCAGAGAAATTGAAGTTTTAGGCGTGAGATTAGAAGCCGGAGGGGTGACTGAAAGGGCTTTGCAGCGGAATTGATTGAGCTGGGACAAAGACGCCATTGTTTTTTATCTCCAATTTGGAAGTTAGCAATAGGAATGAACAGAGAGAAAGCACAAACAGCTATAAGAAAGAGCAAGAGGGACCGATATTTTCATACCCAGAAACGAGAAGCGGTTCCTACATCTTTTAAAGGCATGGGTTGAGTGAAAGGACATATTATCCTTGCATCGCATCGTTCTAGTTTTCTTCCATGGCCCACCCCCTAGAGAAACTGGGGGCAATACCGTTCACAAAATGAATAAGACAGACATTGAAAAACACAACAACCCAAAAAGAGTTTCATATAAATCCGTTTACATTTAAGTTTTAAGATCTAAACAAAATTTTTCGAAACCTTAATAATTATTGAAATAGTAATGAAATTTGACATATTATTTATCAAATAGAATGATTTAATCAAATTTTGGAAACAATTATTATAATTTCATTTAATACTAAATATTGAATTATTAAAAATTTATATCAATATTAAATCTTTTTTTTTTTTTTGGGTGCCCACGTTTTAGCTGAGAAAGCATTGGAATGAGAAAGAATCCAAAAACGCCAAGGAAATGGAGTGTGAGGTAGTCAATTTCTCTCTCTTCTTTTTCATATATTCTGTACCCTTCTATTTTTTTATTCATTTAGGGTAAGCGAAACGTTTCAATTTATGTGAATGCGAATGGCCAATGCAGGAAATCTTGCTATGAACGAAACTAGGAATGGCCATATGTAGCTGCTCTGGAACTTTCTTATTTGTTGCTTCGGTTCATGTCAATTCTTGCCTTTGATATTTATGCTCAGAAGATGAGCAAATTTGAGAAGCACTTGTTGTGCTTGGGCCCATATTGAACAAGAATCAAATCCAATCCCCCTCATGCTCCGGAAGCCTAGATTTATTATCAAAATCTACTTTTTTACAATAAAGTCAGTTGGTAAAAGCTCATCACTCATTCATAAGGTTATAACATCAAATCAAACAATTTTAACCATATGATTTTACAATATCAACAATTTCAATCACATGCTGGTTCAAGTCCAAGCTTGTTTCAAATGCTTATATAAGAACTGAGTCCATAAACCTCTATGTAAAAAAAAAATATCTCTCTGTTTTATTATTATTATTATTATTATTATTTTTTGCAAACACAGCCTAAAAAAATGGAGTTAAATGAATAGTCTAGAGATTTTTTTTATTCAAGGGCTTTACTTTTCAACCAATTTTACCAACCCACATTTTTAACACAACTCACCACACTCATATAGTCATGTATACCCCCATCTCTTTATCATCGGGTATAGAACTTGCGATCTCTCTTTCATGGGAGAGCCGTGAAAATTGTAATTATAGTTTATGCTAAAACTCTAATTTCTTTTTTAAAGTATATTAATTTTTCTGTCCCCCAAAATCCAAATTCTAAACTGATGAAGAGGAGATAGCTATTCCTTCTACCATACGAAGAATGTCCATGAGCGTTAAACTTCTTCTGCAGCACCACACCAGAAAGACCACAAAACAGAGAATCGTGGCTCTTCTTCAGAACGCCAACCTAACACGCCTCCTTCAACTTCATGCTCTTTACATCAAAACATGTTTCTTCTGCCATGACAACTTCCTCAAGTCAAAGTTCTTAAACGCTGTCATTTCTCTTTCTTCGCCCCATCATGACGCTGATTTGTATTATGCTCGTTCCATGTTCGATTCCTTTTCCCTTCCTGACACATTCATCTGGAACACCATGATGCGTGCTTACTTGAATGCTCAAAAGCCTGCAGAATCTCTTGCCCTTTACTTCCAAATGCGCTTCCACGACGACCTTCCACTCGATAGTTTCAGCCTCTCGCTGGTTCTTCAAGCATGCGGGAGGTTAATGGATTGTGATAATGGCATGATGATTCACGCCTATGTGGTGAAACTTGGGTTTTGCCGTGGATTGTTTTGTCCAAACTGCGCTTATTGAAATGTATGCAAGATGTGGTTGCACAGAGCAATGCAGCTAAGGTGTTTGATTTTATGGAAGAACCAGATTTGGTTTGCTCACAAGGTTCTATTGTCAGAGTACGTTAAAATTGGAGATATTCAAAGGCCCGTGAACTGTTTGACAGAATGCCCCAAGAGATTTGGTTTCATGGAACACCATTATTCATGGGTATGCCTCATTTGACGATGCGTTGGACATTGCCAACAGTGAAAGAGACAACAATCTAACCAGGCTTTGAAGCTCTTGATGATATGCAAGTAGCTAATGTAGTGCCTGATAAGATCACGTTAATCATGTCCTGAATGCGTGTGGAATGTTGGTGCCTTAGGAATGGGCAAAACGATTCATGAAGTACATTGAGACAAACCGAATTGGAATAGACATGAAAGCTGGGGACATCTCTTTTAGACATGTACGCAAAGTGTGGGGACATAGATAGTTCAGTGAGAGTATTTAAGCGATTGAAAGATAAGGATATTTTTACTTGGAGTGTCATGATCATGGGTTTTTCAAGCCACGGGCTTGGTCATCTTGCTTTAGAAACTTCACCAAGATGTAGCTGAAGGAATTAAACCAAATGATGTTACCTTCATGGTGTATTAAGTGCATGTAGTCCATATTGGGTTGGTTGAGACTGGATGGATGTACTTCAAATCAATGAATAGTGTTTTATGGAATTAATCCTAATTGAACATTATGGGTGGTATGGTTGACATTTTAGGCCGAGCAGGGCGGCTTCAGAGGCTTGGAACTCCTTAGGACTATCCCTTACACCAGACGCCATAGTTTGGAGGGCCTTTCTTGGAGCTTGTAGAATCCACAAGAACATTGAACTAGCAGAGGAGCTATTGTAAATCTTCTGCAACTGGAGCCTCAAGTAACCTTTCAAGGTAGTGAATTTTAGAAGGATGGTGAAAAATTGCCAAATCTTCATAGAAGGTCCCGGTTTGGAAGCAGCACAGTTGAAGTTGATGATGCCTTATATATGAATTTGTTCTCGGAGATAAGTGACAACCAATGATCCAAAATCAGTTCAGATTTATGAAATGTTGGACGAAATTCTTCAGAGACTTTGATCTGCTGGATATGAGGCTCCAACATCAAGGTACGCAATATCTTGAGGAACATGAGAAACAAAATCAATTAGCTACTCATAGTGAGAAGTTAGCAATTGCTTTTGGTATTCTTGCGACGGCTCCAGGAACGCCCATAAGAATGTTTTAAGAACCCTCGAGTATGTGAGGATTGTCAATTGATCATTAAGTGTATGGTTGGGTTGCATCCTTAGAAAAGGGGAAGGTAAGAAACAGAATATCAGTGTCTGCTAACAATCCTCCCCCAGAAGCCTCCTCAGGACAACGATACGTCATTGATGGAGGATGACAGACATGATGGTCCAAATTAATGAAACGGTAATAAAGGCACGACGAGGAAGAGCTGAGAAGGATTAGAGGAGGACAAGGAGAGATGGTTAGGTGAATGGGAACTACTATGATGGTTCAAATCATAATGGTGGATGAGCATGGCTTTCCAGATCTGTGACATGGTTCCAAATCTGCCTCTAGAAGGCACGGCGACGGAGTTCTCAAGATGAATGACAAGAGGAAGGGCACTGGTGTGAGGTGATAATGCCAGAGCTCTGGCAGCCAACGCTGGGGGCAACGATGCGAGCTGATTTGTTTTTTTTTTTTTTTTCAAAAAAAATGAGAGATGGTTAGCCTTTTCACAAAATTTAATTTTATTTAGGTTTCTCAACCTTGCAAAGAAAATTCAAAATTTTTTTATTCTTTCTTATGATTAAAGTGTTTTTGTAGTCATTCACAGGAGTTGAGTCTTGTAAAAGAATTAATTTTCATAGCATAATAAATCAATACTTAAATTTTTATTGAAAAAAAATATTTTATATTAATACTCAATAATACCTCAAATATATTACCTCCATACATGTGGGTTAAAAAAAAAAAAAAGCACTTCAATAGTCCTTAGATGCAATTTTCCATTTAAAAAGAATGATGTGAACTGATTGGCTTAACCGGTGCAAGTGATATTGTGGCATGAAGCTAGAGACGAGCTGTAGCAAAAGCATCATAGCTATTTTTGCTCGTATCTACAGTAGTACGTGAGAGGAGTCGGATACACATGTCAGCTTTTTATTAACTAAAAGATGATTTTCATTATATTGAAGCAAAATACAAGCATTAATTAATGCAAGAACAAAAGAAAACCTAGCCACACAAGACTCGAGAAACTAAATA